TAAAAAGAGTGAAAAATCTCTAAACTGCTATGGAATGATTTTGAAGAAAAATTGTTATGTGAGTAAAGCTGTGTAAACAATGTGTGTAAAATGAGCCATACTTCATATAGAACAGGAAGAATGTAGCTAGAATAAAACAATAAAAGTGAGCCGGGTGTGGTATGGTGGTGGCACACACCTTTAATCCCAGCAGTCGGGAGGCAGAGGCAGGCAGATCGCTGTGAGTTCAAAGCCTGGTCCGCATAGTGAGTTCCAGGCCAGCTGGGACTAAAGGGGAAACCCTGTCTCAAAAAGACCAAATAAATAAAATAAAATAAAATAAAATAAAATAAAATAAAGTAAAATAAAATAAAAGTGATGGGAACTGGAGGACAGTAGCTGAACAGAGAGAGATTGGCACACAGATATCTTTTTGGACTGTATCTGGCCTGCCTGAAAGCAAATGAGTCACTTGTGTCCTTCCATTTGACTATCAGAGTGTGAAACAAGACCCTCTGGAAATTGGAATTTCCCTCAGGAATTTCATGCTGAGAAAAGGAAAAGGCTGGACCTGGTGCCAGTCAGAGGGAAAACTTGTCTCCCACAAGGAGATTTCACAGTGCCAATAACTTGTTGGATCACCTTGCAGGATGAGACTGAGCCCAGACAATTATGGACCAATAATGGATGGGACCACACTCTGATCTGGACTGCTTAGATATGCATAATGCTGGCCCTCTACTTAAACCTCAATCTCATATCAGGACCCAGAAGATGGACTTCTTGGGGAGTGTGTGAGTGTGTGTGTGTGTGTGTGTGTGTGTGTGTGTGTGTGTGTGGTTGCTGGATCTCTTTGTCCCTCTTCCCAGTGTGCCTGCATTGAATAAATCTCCTTTTTCTGTTTTTCACTATTGATTTGGCTCTTTTAATGGCTTATCAAGGATGGGTGGCTGAGCCTGGCTTTTGGGGGCAGCCAGAGGCTGGTAACAAAGACATACATTTGCTTCTTTTCTGTCTCTGCTGGAGATTGAACCCAGGGTGTTGCATATATTAGGTAAGTGCTTTATAACTGAGCCACACCTCCAGTCCATGTTTACTTTTTGAAACGTTAATATACTTACTACATGTTAAAAACCAGATTGACAAACACTGGAAGGAGAATGAAAGTTCTGAAACCAGGGAGCTGAAGGGAACAAACATCCTTGTTGATAGCTGTTTGTGCAACCTATAGTTTATTTACTTCTAAAAATTGGACTGGCTTAGGGGAAGGGGTTGGGTTTCACTGGCATAAGATTTAGCAATATGGTCTTGGGGGAACCTTGAGAAGAAGCCATTTCTTCCAGAGTTTCCTGCAGAAGCAATCGGGAAAAACCTGGCTGATCTAGGGCTGGGAATTATGCTACTGAATGCTGGCAACCAAACCTATCCTGAGGGTAGAGGCTAAAGGTTCCTAGCTTTGAACTAAGTCTCTGAAACCTCCCAGACATTAGATGACTCAGGCTTGGCCCTGGGAAGAGAAAAAGAGAAAGACTGTTACAGCTTTAAAATGTTGTCCTTCCTTCTGGGAGAGAAAGAAAATAGGTTAGTAAGTATAGATTTATAATATCTTGATTAGAAAAGGAACAGATTCAAGGACTGTGTCAATGTCGTATTTCATTGCTGGATCATGGGCCTGCCCTTTTAAGACGCTAGTCACTCTAAGCAGCCAGATCTCACAGCCTAAAGAGATCAGTCTATACCATCTTGCAGCAATCTCTCTGGGGCAGAGAGTTAAGACTTTATCTGTATTGCTGGGCATGGTGGTGTTCATTTTTAATCCCAGCAGAGGTGGGCGGATCTCTGTGAGATTGAGGCTAGGCTGGTCTATACAGCAAGTTCCAAACAAGCTGGGACTACAGGGAGACCCTGTCTCAAAAAAAAAAAAAAAAAAAAAAAAAGAAAAAAAAGAAGCTATTTCTGCTGTGGTGTTATAGCCCCTAACTTATGGGGCTGTAGCCAGTACCTGGCCCCTCCATTATTCTCGCCACATAGGCTACTGGAGACTAAATCATGTGGTGTAAAACTTCTTGTTATCCCTGGAAAGGATTGAAAAGTCAGATATTTTCCTTTGTTCTGGAGATTTATTTGAAGGCTCTCCTCTGGTCCTCCTCTCATTTTTCTGTTCAGGATGATTATTTATTTTACTTTTACTTTAATCTCCTCTTTTAAAAAATTATTTAGCTATTTTTATTCTATGTGTATAAGTGTATGTAAGCATGCAAGCGTATCACATGTGTGCAGTACCCATGGAGGGCAGAAGAGAATGTCAGATCCATTGGAACTGGAGCTATAGATGATTGTTAGCTACCATGTGGGTGCTGGGAACTGACTCCAGGTCCTCTGCAAGAGGAGACAGTGGTCTTAATCACTGAGTCAAGCCCCACAAGCTATCTCTCAAGCCCCACAAGCTATTCCTTTTAATGAAGTTCTTCTCCCAGTTTTAAAGTCTCTTTTCCTTTAAGGCCCTAGCATGCTGCTAGGTATAATGTACTTTTCCTTTTTAATCCTCCTACCTCAAGGCTGGATCATAACTCCCATGGTCACAAGGCTCGCTCTCCTAATAAAGCTCATTTCTGAAGGATAATTTTGTGTCAGCTCCTTTCCAGAAACAATTTACCTGTTGCCTTCTCTAATAGGAAGGAGAATGCATCCTACCTCACGAAAAAGAATATGTGACCAGCCGGGCGTGGTGGTGCATGCCTTTAATCCCAGCACTTGGGAAGCAGAGGCAGGTGGATCTCTGTGAGTTCAAGGCCAGCCTGATCTACATCATGAGTCCAGGGCAGCTGGGGCTACAGGGAGACCCTGTCTCAAAAAGACCTAAAATAAAACAAACAACAACAACAAAAAGAATATGTGACCACACAGGAAGTGTTTGATGTCTGCAAAAAATGGGACAGACTCTTTCCTCTTACTCTGCTTCTCAAGGAATGTATGCAATGTCGGCCATGATAGCTTCCTGTTCTAATTCCATTATTTACACAAAAACAGTAAAACAGCTTTGCAAGATAAATAATGGTTCCTCTGGAACAGTGTCTCATACACTGATCCTATCTTTATCTAAGGTGAATTATAGAGCACACACCTAGACAGCCTGGGGAAAGGATTATCTAATACATAAAAGTAGCATTAGTAAATATGGATGTTAAAAGTATTTTAAATGGTGCTATCTTCCTCTTAACATTCCTTAAGCATTTACAGTGTCCTGAATTTATAACTCCTCAAATAATCTCTGCTTCCTGAATCTGTCCAGATGTGAGCAAACTCCAACAGAGGAGTCCACGGCTGGCACTGTGCTAAGTATTTTGTTTAGTTGATAAAGTCTGTTGATGTAGCTCTTCTAAATATTTGCCAAAGGGCTTGAAAGAAAAATTAAGACATTCACGAAGAGAAAACTACAGACCAGTATGCTTTGTGAATACAGATGCAAAAATCCTTCAAAAACATTAGCAAGGCCAGTGAGATGGCTCAATGGAAAAAGGCTCTCGCTCCTAGGTCTGATGACCTGAATTTGATCCTCAGGACCCACATGGTCGAAGGAGAGAACTGAAGGTCATAAGTTATCCCTTGACCTCCCCAGGCATCACTCCCCAATAAATTAAATAAATAAATAAATAAATAAATAAATGTAATTTTAAAGTGAAACAAGTAAGCAAAACACAACAGAGGTTACGGATATGGCTTTAGTGGGTAAAATGTCTTATGAGCAAACATGAGGACCTCCATTTGAATCTCCACCATCTATAAATCCTGTAACTCCAGTTATAGGGTGGTGGTGGTGGAAACAAGTGGATTCTGGGGTCTCCTGACCAGCCAGTCTAGCGGAAAAACAGCAAGCTCCAGGTTCATGACAGACCCTGTCTCAAGGGACTAAGTAGGGAAATGACAGAAAGAAACCTGACATACTCCTCTGATTTACACACACACACACACACAATAAAAGTAAAATTACCCACTGGGCATGGTGTCTCAAGCCTTTAATCCCAGCACTCCGGAGGCAGAGGCAGGAGGATCTCTGTGAGTTCGAGGCTGCCCTGGTCTCCATAGTGAATCCAGGCCAGCTGTGGCTACAGGAAGACCCTGTCTCAAAAAGACCAAAAAACAAAAAATAAAACAAAAAAACTAAAATTAAAACTACAGAAAGTTTTTTATATTGCTATTCTCTCTTTGTTATAGAACTTGTAATGCAGTAAATTTTCAGTTAAATAAAAGTTCCCTGAAATGAATGCAAATATTGTATCTAGAGATTGTAGATGATCCTAAGAACCCTAAGGACTTTCTCTCATAGTTTGCATAATTAGGGAAGATATGGAAAGTTTAAACTTATAGTGTGTTTCCTAAAATAGATTCTAGAAGGGTCTTGTGAAAAAGAATGATGGAAAATATTAGTGAAAGGGGTTGCAAATAGATTATGGAGAGTCCTGAATGGTTCGAAGGTCAGCCTGTCAGTTTGAATGGCAGTTAAAGTAGTTCACAGCATCACATATTAACCAAACTTGGAATTCCAGAGAATTTTTTTTAGGTCATGTGGAAACTAAAATAGTGGAGGTAAGTCCTGATCACCAAAGAATTCGTCTAAAAATCATTGTTAGTAGTGGTGGCAGCCTGAGGCCAGTTTTGATTTATATGGCGATTGCTATGTGCTGAGGGTTTTCATACTAGAGGGTGGAGGTGGCCTATCACACCCATTTCACAGCCCAGGAAAGGGAGCCTTGGGGAGACGGAGAGCCCATAACTCCGGGGCAGCAATTCGGGCCTCGGAGTCAGAGAAGGATCTTCGCGTGAGGAGGGGGCTGCAGGGCGGCGGGAAGAGAAAAGGGACTCTGCAAGAAAGCCTCTCCTGGGGTGACACCTGTCACTAGGCCACGCTCAGGCGCCGGTCCAAAATCACGGTATCTGATTGGCAGGGTTGGAGGGTCTGGGCGACTCTGATTGGCTGCTTGGACGTGGTACCAGGCCTTCACCCGGTTACGGAATCCGAGCGGAGCCAAACGCGGCCTCTGGCTGAAGGAAGTTAATCGCAGAACTCAGAGGCGGGGGTTAGGCATCTCGGACTCAATGGCGACCGCAGGGGCCAGCGGCGGCGACGGGAAAGGACAGGGCGGCGACGCCCCCGTCACCTACTATCGGCTGGAGGAGGTGGCGAAGCGCAACTCCGCGGAGGAGACGTGGATGGTGATCCACGGGCGAGTCTACGATATCACCCGCTTCCTCAGCGAGGTGTGGGCCGGGGAGGCGGGAGGGCCGCTGCGGGGCTGAGCCGGGAAGGCCGCACCAGGTGCTGGGGAAGGGAGCGAGGCCTAGGCGGCGCCCGGAAGGGCCCGCGACCCGGGGGGTAGGGCGGCTCTCGAGGCCCCTGCCTTGCCCGCCCGCACCTGTTCTCAGGTTCCAGGGAGCGTCATGGGCTTCCTGTGCATGGAGCTTGCTGGGTGCCGGGGCGCGCTCCAAACCATCTCCATTGACTCAGGACTCTCAAGGTCACACACTGAATGGCCTGAAGCACTCGAACCCGCCTCGCCCTGCGCCTCACGAGGGCCATTTCCATGTGCCTTGTGAGGTATCATTTGGGATTTTCTGGAGAAGCGGAGATCCGTCTCCTCCCTTTCCTGGATTATGCTGTAGATGCTTTTATTTATTTATTTCCTCCTGAAGGCCATGAATTTAGGGTTTTTGTTTTTTTCCCATCGACGGGTTATATGTTCCCCCATCCATCCATCCATCCATCCATCCATCCATCCATCCATCCATCCATCCATGAATTGATTTAAAAAGAACATTACTAGGCCGGGCGTGGTAGCGCACACCTTTAATCCCAGCACTCTGGGATCTCTGTGAGTTCAAGGCCAGCCTGGTCTACATAGTGAGTTCCAGGACAGCTGGGGCTACAGGGAGACCCTGTCTCAAAAAGACCAAAATATATATATACATATATATATATATATGTGTATATATATATTTTATGTGTATGAGTGTATTGCCTACATGTATGTACGTGCACCCGTGACATGCAGTGCTCATGGAGATCAGAAGAAGGCGTCAGATCCTCTGAAACTGGAGTCAAGACAGTTGTAAGCTGCTGTGTGGGTGCTGGGATTCGAACCTGGTTCCTAGCTCTCTTAACTGCTGAACCATCTCTCCAGCCCTGATTTTTGTTTTTGTTTTCCATTGACAAATTATGTGTTCCCTCATCCATCTATCATCTCTTTATCTATCTACCTATGTCTTTTTTAATCAATCTCCCTACCTTTCTATCTACCTATCTCTCATCTACGAATCAATCCCTATCTATCCATCTATCATCTATCAATTTATTTTTTTCGGTACAGGAGATTGAACCTAGGTAGTGGATGTATTAAGCAAGTGCTGTACCACAACAAAGCTAAATCCCCAGCCTCTTCACCCTTTTTTTTTTTTTTTTTTAACTCTTTAAAACTGTTGTATAATATCTCATGACACAAATTCACTTTGAAGCTGTGGTACAACTGATCTTTTATTTTTTTTCCCTTTTTTTGTAGACAGGGTCTGATGTAACCTGAGCTGGCCCCCAACTTGACCATGTAGACTTTGAACTTCTGATCCTCCTGTCTATGCTATGCTGGGGATGGAACCCAGTGCTTTGTACATGTCGGACAAGCCCAGGCTGACCTTGAACTGGGATCCTCCTTCCTCAGCCTCCCGAGTGCTGGAATTATGGTTTCTCCACCATCACACCTGGCTTCTGTTTCCTTTCTCCGAGTCAAATCTACCAATACCACACCCGGCCCAGCTTCATTCTTAAAACTAGTTGATAGTGACATGGATTGGAGTAGCCCTCATATTCACAGGGTATTGAAAACAGTTTTAGAGAGATTTTGGCCATGTAATTGATTTGTGAAAGTCTGGTTTTGAAAATCCTTTGATTTCTCTTGTCTGCACAGTATTACTTCAGAACTCTAGCCTTAACTTTATCTTCTGATATCTGCCTTATGAATTTTCCTTTCAAGCACAGCTCATAATGTGTAGGCAGTCATTTTTTTAAAAAAAATTTATTTATTGCTAGGCATGGTGGCACACGTCTTTAATCCCAGCACTTGGGAGGCAGAGGCAGGCGGATCTCTGAGTTCAAGGTCAGCCTGGTCTACATAGTAAGTTCCAGGACAGCTGGGGCTACAGGGAGACCCTGTCTCAAGAAGACCAAAAAATAAAAATAAAAAATAAAAAAAATTATTTATTATTTTTATTTTATGTGTATGCATGTATTGCCTGCATGTAGGTAAGTGCACCCATGTCGTGCAATGCCCGAGGAGGTCAGAAGAGGCTTTTGGATCCCCTGGGACTGGAGTTACAGATAGCTGTTAGCTGCCATGTGGGGGCTGGAATTCGAACCCCGGTCTTCTGCAAGAACAACCAGTGTTCTTAACCACTGAGCCATTTCTCCAGCCCCAGCAGTCATGTTTTTCACTTGCAGTTTTTTTGGTTTTATTTCCCCAGAATTCCTTGATTGATTGAAAATCAATAGTGAATTTGGAAGGAACCAAACCAGTCAAGTAGCAGTTTCAAACCTGCTTCACTGTGCCCTGATGCAGCTAAGACATATATGGTGTGCAAGACTTCTCTGAAAGTTTGAGCTGCTGATCTGTATCTGTAGTTAGCTATATGTTGTTATCCCTTTGAGTTTTCAGGGTCTTATCCTGAATCCCAAGCTAGCCTGCAATTTACTGTGTTGCCCAGACTGGCCTTGAATTCATGGCAGTCCTCCTCTGTCAGCCTCATGAGTGCTGAAATTTCATGATTGATCTACCACACCCAGTTTTCAGTTAGCTATTCTTGGTTAACTTGTTCTGTAGTTTGACTTTTGTTCATTCCAAGTTTATTCATTCATCTACTTAATCAAGTAGTAAGCCTTTACTTTATACCAGATACTGTTCTAGGTAGTGAGGGTACACTAGTTAATACCATGGAATCTACAGTATATGGAAGCAGACAGTAAACAGTAAATGAATGAAATGTATTCTGTAGTTAGACAGAAAGTAGGTGCTAAGAAGAAAAATATTGTAGGGAAGTGGGTATAGGGTGTGTATGGTGAGAGTGTGAGGATGAGGAGTTGACATTTTAGGTATGAAGGCCAGGAGTAGAGTCTTGAGGATGACTAAAGGCCAGGAGCAAGATAAAGGAGTTAGTCCCATGGATATCTGCAGAAGATCGTTCCTAGGAAAGGGAGCAGGAGGCCTTGAGGTGGAGGTATGTCTGGTGTGTTTGAGAGACAGTCAGTGAGGCTGCAGTAGTTAGATAGTAGGACATTAGATCAGAATGATCAGAGGTGGGCAGATCATGTACAGCTTTCCAGACTTTAGGATGAACTTTGATTTTTTTTTTTTTTTTGAGAGGGAAATCATTGGAACAGAAACATGACAGAATGCAATTTAATGGTTTAATTGGGTCATTCTAACAGCACTCTTGAGAAGGTAGTGAAGGACAAGGGTAGAATTGAGAAGCCTAGTTAACGAAGTTGTAATTGAGCAAGGCATAGTGACTTAGACCAGAATGGTGTTGGTAGAGGTAGGTAGTGAGAAGTATCAGAATTTTTATGTAGTGTGATGGAAACCAATAGGGTTTAATGATGCATTGAATTTGGGAAATGAAAGAAAAAGGAGTCAAGGAGGATGGCATGCTTTTGGCCTGTAAGTCTAGTAACCAGGGCTATTATTACAACATACATCGGTTTTCAACCCTCTTGAATTTGAAATCACTTTGGGGCTCCCTTAGTGATCGTTTATATGAATGTCCCGCATCTATAGGTTATTAGTCCTGGTTAATGACCGTGGTTATATTGGGATACTACTGGAGTTTGTGATAATGTAGAGTTGGTAATATAATTGAGTTATCTTTCCCTAATCGATTAATTTTGCTTTAAAAAAAAATCACTGCTGTTGGTTTTATGGAAAAAAAACTAAGAATGCAAATAGTAAATGGCATTGCTGGTTGTTGCTGTTTTTGTTTTCTTTTGAGACAAAGTCTCGTGTATTTCTATACAGCTTCAAACTTGCTAGGTTGTCAAAGATGACCTTTGAGTTTAGGATCCTACTGCTTTCACCTCCCGTGTTGGGATTATAGGTATGTGCCATCACACCTGGATTATGGATTGCTAGGGGTTGAACTCAGGGCTTCTTACATGCTATAAACTATACCCTTTACCCCCATACCACCCCCCACCCCCACTATTTAGTAGTTTAGGAAAAGAAGGTCATAGTAAAAATAGTTACTATTTTATGAGACTGACCTGAAAAATCAAAGTGAATGTCTTTTTTTTTTTCTCATTAATACAATCTTTTATTTGGAAAAATGGATTATGTTCCATTCATTCCACATTTTCTATGAACTTAATCTGAGAATTTGGTACAAATCAAAAATTCTGGAGATTTATAAAGGATTTGCAGCTGCTGACATTTTATAATTTTTTTTTTTTTTTGTCTTTGAGACATGGTCTCTCTGTAGCCCCAGCTGTCCTGGAACTCACTATGTAGACCAGGCTGGCCTGAACTCACAAAGATCCACCTGCCTCTGCCTCCCAAGTGCTGGGATTAAAGGCGTGCATTTTATAATTTTTTTGTCAAAGCAAATCTTAAATTATATGAAAGCTTATTATACATAGACACGCACAAATAATAATTGCCACACGATGTGGTGGTGCATACCTATAATTCCAGCGCTCAGAAGGATCATGAGCTCAAGGCCAGGTTGGGATGTACAGTGAGATCCAGTCCAGCCTGAACTACACAGCAAGATCCAAGATCCTAGAAAAACTTAGTAGTAAATTCAGCAGGCACAGGCATGGTGGCATATGCCTGTAATCTCAGCGCTCCAGATGCAGGAAGGTCAGATGGAGAGGTCATCCTAGGACACATAAGGAGACCCTCAGATGTACACTGAAGCGGTGGCCAGTGGGCGAGCATGGCCCCCACCAAGTCCAGTGCCGCCCTGAAAGCCTGAGCCAAAGTACATGTCTTTTATCAAGTATATGGTTTTCTGAAGCTTTATTCAGTGAATTACATATAATGCTACATTTAATGTTTATGTAAATGGTGTTTAATGAATTATTTTCTTCCTGTGTGTCAGAGTGTAATAGCTTGGACTGGTGAGGTGGCTCAATAGGTAAAAGCATTTACTATGTGAATAGCAACTTGAGCTTAATCCCCAGAATCCAGGGTGGAAAGAGTAGCAGAGTTGTCCTCTGACTTCCA